GCGTGAACTAGGTAGCGAGGAGGGGAATAGTATTCCAAGGGGAAGGAACAGTATGAGCTAGTCCTGGAGTGAAGAAAGCTGTATACAGGGAACCATGAGCAGGTTGCTGAGTATTATAATAAGAAGCATGGATTGTTAAAGATGATGCTAAAAAAGCAGACAGATTCCAATAAGGCCTCGTATGTCTTATTAGGAAGCTTTGAGCATATTTTTATGTGATGAGAAGCCACTGGAAGGCTTTTGAGTGGGTGGGGTTATCTGAAAGGAGATTGGAATGTGGTAAGACACAAGACAGGGAGAAGCTATAGGAGGCTACGACTGTCATTCAGAGAAGACGAATTCTGAGGAGATTGGAAGAGCAAGATATAGTTTGAATAAAAGAAGGGAAAAATTCAGGGACTATTTAGTTGGTGAAATCTGTAGGAATTGGAACGGGTTGAATGTGGGGGTGGGGTCAGAGATGGGGAGGAGTGGAGACGAGAGAGACCCAGGTTCTGGTTTGAGTGCAGGGGAGGTTTGGGGCTGAATCAGAAGGTCAGAAAATCTATATCCCAGGGAATACAGTGAAAGGCATCTGGTATTGTCCTTCTGCCACTGTCTTAAAAGGGATTCTAAAGGGATTTTCTTTCTCTTGTTCCTCCAGCCCTACACTTGCATGACTGGCCTAAGTGGATACGCACCAGTTGGCTGTGTCCATCATTACAGCCAAGTCTGAGAATTCCTGATTATACTTAGAGCCTGCGGAGCTGCTGACACTAACAGTCATTAGCTGAAGACCCTTTTGTAAGAAACTATGCTTTAAAATATAAACGGTGGAGGCATTCTCCTTGCATTGTCCAGAAGGAACTTTCTCCTACGTGAGCCTGGATTAATCATGAGAGAGCTCGTCAACATTCCACTGGTACACATCCTTACTCTGGTTGCCTTCAGCGGGACCGAGAAACTTCCAAAAGGTTGGTTTGAGCAATTTCGTTTTCTTGTTGCTTTGTCGCAGTTCTAAAGTGTGCATGTGCTACAATCAGGACTGATTCACAGTATGGTGGGTTTGGGTTTTACTTAGTGAAGTAGGAGTAGAATGTGTGGAGAGGGAGGAGGAAACTATATACATCAGCAGTTAGCTGATGGGCTCTGTACTAATATTTCCCTTCTAAGTTCTGCATTAAAACGCTTAGCCATACAGTGATGCAGAGCCCTCACTTCTAGAGGAAACATTAGCAGGTAGACTGCAAGTTATCAAGTCCTGTTTTGTTTAGGCGTATGTCAAATTTCAGGGTGGTCTAAATGAACGATGAAAACCTTTTTACATCAGGTTTGCCAGGAATATAATCAACTCCACTCCCAGACGTCCAGAGTGTTTGCTTCTGAACAAAAATCGTTTCCATTTTCAGTTTCAGTTTTACCAAACTGTTAATAAACATTTTAGTTACTAAAAAATCAGAAATACAGAAAGACGCACACGATTGGCCTATATAATAAGACCCTGATTACAACGGGTTCTCAATAACTTTGGGGCTGGAGTCATGATTTGGCTTGGCAAGAGACTGCAAAGTTTTTTTTCAGAGCCTTTGGAATGTACCGGAAATAACACCACCTCAGGGGAAAGGAAAGCAACTTAAGAAACTGACAAACACCTGTTGCAGTAGCAAGAATGTCCACAGTGATGTGGTTTCTGGCCAGTGTATGATGAAACTGAGACTAGTGTATTTCAAACCAGGAAGACTAGAAAATGTGTGATTCTCAAAGTGTCTGAGGGCTTCACTGAAATCTTTTTTAAAAAGGACATGAAAAAGCAGATTGAATGGTATCAATCTAAGTAAAGCGTTTTCAAACTAAATGTGTTGCAATAGATTAAAAAGAGTTCTGTATCTCAGGACACATTCAAATTAATTATTTTCTTTTTGAATTCGTTTATCAAAGCACTGAAACAGTGTGTATTGTGTAAATAAGTGAAGGTAGTATCTGTATGTAGATAAGAAACACATCTTTAGATGTGTGGTTCACTAAAAATTCTGGAGCCACAAGTCCAAGGTTCACATACAAATAAGATACAGTTTTCTTCCCAACCAATCTTATTGCATATATTTTTTTTGGCTTTTTTGTTGCTTCTCTTTTTCCATTTTACTTGAGCAGAATGGTATCTTTAAACATATTTAAATGTTTAATTTCCAACTAATCCTTTAAAGTATCTTCAGATAAAAGAGAATCTAGATTTTTCAAACAGCTAATAATAGCCAGAAAGACTTAACATTGGCTTCATATTATTTTAATACTTCCTGATCACACAACGGATGTCCGGCAAGGCAGTACCTGAATGTTTGTACTTATGGATTCTCTTAAGTCTTATTTGTGTTATCTTAAACCATGCAGTTACATAAAAATGACAGGCTTAAATTCTAAAATTTACTAAAGTCTAGTCTTATAAGGAGCAGGACAATTGATTTTGATGGTCCAAAGAAGAATTTAGTGCAC